AAACCCAACAAAAAAAAAAAAAAAAAAAAGAAAAGGATGTGACTTAACTGCAGGGAGTCACAAGGGAGATTTCACAGAGCAGTCTCACTCTAGCTGCAGAGGACCACTTCTCCTCCCTCCCCCTCTTCTTCAAATAGGGAAAACACAGAATTCTTAAAGCTGGTTGAACAGCAGCTAAGGCAACTGTAGACTCTGGGAGGACTGATACCCGTCAGCCAGTTCTGGGCTTGCCAACCCAAGACACTTGTCAGGAGCGGGAGGATAGTTGGTATCCTGGGGATAAGATCCAGAAACAAACGAACCTTATTCTCTGAAAATGAAAGGTGGCCTTAATAGTTTAAACTCTGGTTGGATTGTACATGTAAAGGTGGTTGTGTCTTATCCAGATGTATAGTAGTTCCCTCCATCCTCTTCTAAATACCCCACATACTCATAAACACTAGATAAAAATACAGATTATCTGGCTAGGTTTTCAGGAGGCTATCCCATTTTCTTTTGTTTCTTATTCAGAGGCAGGTGGTATAGGAACAGAGATTCCTTTTTACAAAGCAACTGCACCAAATGATTTTTGACTAGGAGATACCACCCACCAAGAAGGCCTCAAAGAGTTCACTGTGATGCAAGATACAGAGTAGGATGATCTGGTGGTCTGATGAAACCCCCGTGGGGCCTTGGCAAATCCTGCTTCATTTGGTTGGTCAATATTTGTTCAGCACCAATTATGTATAGAAAATTGTGTTTGCTGTTGAAGGAGAGAGGGAGGGTTTAAAATTGATATTAACCTGGTTGGCATTGGAGAGGTTGGTATAGAAATGACACAAAATAAACACATTCCACCACTTAAAGTATTTATAAAGCTGCACACCGGCCGGGCTCAGTGGCTCAGCCTGTAATCCTGCGCTTTGGGAGGCTGAGGTGAGTGGATTGCCTGAGCCCGTGGGTTCGAGACCCACCTGGGCAACTTGGCGAGACCTCGTCTCTACAATAAATCAAAAATTAGCTGGGCGTGGTGGTGTGCGCCTAGAGTGCTGGTTAGGAAGGCTGAGGTGGAAGGACTGCCAGAGCCCAGCAGAGGTGACCGTGTGTGTGCCACTGCCACAGCACTCCAGCCTGGGAGACAGAGTGAGACTGCAACTCCAAAAAAAGATATGCTATTCATGTAATTGTTACCAGTGTGCGTCACCATAACAGAAAAGGTTGATAGGTGCCTATAAGATACCTCCCAGGCATCCAGATATTTTGCATGCTTAACAGTCATGTATTGAATCACTAACATAAATCTCATATGCCCCTGCTTGCGATGGCCTCTATTTCAGTGTACAAGCATTGCTCGATTGTTGTACCACTGTGCCATCATCTCTTTATGAGATGTTGCCAAAGGGTGTCTGTCTTGAGGAAAACATGTTGTATTTCAGGACTTTGCTAATCTCTTTAAAATTGTGAGCAATACTGATATATTTGTCAGCGTTAGGATGTGTATCTGATTAGTTCACACTGCACGAAAATTAGCACCAGTAACTGCTTTAGGTAGGGCTTGCTGCCACATCTTGTATCTCGCTTGGAAGGCAGATACACCAGTTCAACTGAGTGTTTGTTACTTTAATTGTGGGCTACTTAAGTAGAATTACATGACAGCATTCAGCAGATCGTTCAGCTGTTAAGGAGTGTTTGTTTGTTTTAGAAAGCAGGATTTATTGAGAGGACAGAAAAGCTCCCACAGTAGGTGGGGACCCGAGGAGGTTGCCTAAAGTTTTTTACATATACCTCAAAAGGATGATCTTCTTCTGCCTACATTTCTTCCATAAAGTTTCCGTGACTCTAGATGTACAGTGGAATCTCTTGAGTTGAAAGAGTTTAACCAGCTTCTACATCTCTTTTTGATGAAGTTAACTTCACTCGTAACACAAAGCTTGCTCTGATGGCGTTCAGCTAATTAATTGTGATGTTGATGTTATTAAAATTTGTGAAGTAGCTGACAGATCAAGTTTTGCTAGCAGTGCCACCTTTTGTAAAGTCTGGAAGTGGTATAAACCATGATAATCATCCTGACACCTAACGTCTGTTGCAAATGCCAATTATTCTTGCTTAAGTGTTTTATATTCATTATCTGACTTGATATTCAAACTAACCCTGTGAAGTAAATGTTACTTTTTATGCTTTTTTTTTATTAAAAGGAAAACAAGACTAGAGAAGTAGCTTGCCCAGGGTCATACAGCTACTAAATGGTTGAGACCAGACAGAAACGTAATTTTTTTTTTTGCACTGGAGTCTCACTCTGTCACCCACATTAGAGGGCAGTGGCATGCTCCCAGCCACCGCAGTCTCGACCTGCTGGGCTCCGGTGATCCTTCCACCTCAGCCTTCCAAGTAGCT